AGCGGTTTGGTATAAAAAGCTACATAAACTAACTTTTTTAATCCGCTAGCGATTTGGACCCTAACCGCTATCAACTAATCTTAAACCGCTAAATAAGAATTTTACCAAACACTTTAATTGTAACGATTTCGAAATATATAAATTTACCAAACACTTATATTTAGCGATTTAGGTAAAACCGCTAACCGCTACCCTAAAACCGCTATACCAAATAGAGCCTAAATAGAACGAAAAGAGAAAGGAAAGGAAAACAGAAATGGAAGATCAAAATACAAAGAAAAATAAAATAACATAAAAGATTAATAATTTATTGATTTAAGTGAAAATAAATTAACTTTTCTAAATACATTTTTGAATTTAATTCTTATAAATAAAAAAATAAATACTAACACACATTTTTCTCTCACAAAATTTGATATGATTTAATTTTAAATTAATTAAAATTCACTTTAACTTCTAAATATTAAGATATTTAATTTCAAAAAATAATATAAAATTAAAAAAAAAAATCTCGCCCCGTTCCCTTCCATTCTACTCAATCTTTTATCTACATAAAAAAGATTTCTCTGTTTCCTTCTCTCATTACCCCCTCAAACTAAACAAACAGGATTTGTTTTAATTTTGAGTTTTTTTTTTCTTTAAAAACAGGATTATATTTTTAGAAAAAAAGAAAATGGGTTGATCTCAAACTTGACTCTTATAAGAACTCCCATATGAGAAGTTACCACTTCTCTACCTAGAGGTTCTTATTTTAATTTTGAGTTTGAGCCTTTGATTCTTATATATATATATATATATTTGAGTTTGAGCCTTTGATTCTTTTATATATATATTTGATATTAATTATATAATAAAAAGTAAATATTTTTTATTTTTTATTTAATTTTATTTATATATTATGTGACTTAAATTTAAAATCTTTTATTTCAAATGAAAAAAAAAATCACATATCAATTTTTTTCTACTCATTTTAATTTTGAGTTTGAGCCTTTGATTCTTATGTTAAAATAAAAATAACAGTAACAAAGACCTTATTTAATTTATGGCCTCCAATCTAATCCAACCGATAAAGTGGCCTCGTGTTATTGATCCCGTTTCAACTTACTCACCGATCAATTGCTACAAACGCAAGCAATCATCAATGATAAAATAATGCGAAGACAAAAGGGGTAGGACACATTCATTTTAATTACAATGTCAGAATTGGTGGGGACTGTGGGGAGAGTGTCAGATCCAGGAATAATTTTGTTTTAATTATTTTTGTGTGGGAGGAGAGGAAAAATCATTATTCCTTTGTTTTTTAGCATCCCTTTATTCTTTATT